TGAGTTTTCCTTCTATCAAATGTCTACTCCAGGTGGCCTTAATGTGTCCGAATGCAGGTTTGTCCTTTTTTCCATTGATCTTAAATTGAATATGAGACATTGACATAATCACTGGTCCAGGTAATGACATAACATTCTGTGATGTTTCACTGTACAGTTATAAAGACTACAGAAGTAATGAGGACTACAGTTTTACACCACAGTTCTGGCTTATACTAGCCGTCCGGTTTGCATTCGTCATTCTCTTTGAGGTGAGACATTTTACACGTCTACGCTGTACGAAACCACGTTGTAAGCAATTCTGCACAATGAGCCAGCATTAGCAGGTCAGGGGTGAGTTTGAAAATGTGAAGCATGTGATTTGGATGATAAGAAAATCAGGGTGTTACCTTTGGTAAAATGAGTCTTCTATAAATAGTGAGGACACATTCCTTATGTTTGACCTCCTCTCGTTGCAGCATGTTGTCGTCATATGTAAATTCATCGCAGCCTGGTTCGTACCCAGTGCTCCCATGCAGGTCAAGAATGACAGACTCTTCGACAAACTCAACAGACTGAAGGAGGAACTCAGGTGAGAGTGGGGACATTTGTTGTTAGACTGGTACGATGGTAGATTTGCATTCTGTCATAAAGATATATGACTCATTTATTCACAATGAAGGTCTCGTGTCATGCTTGGGGATTAACCTACTCAGATCAGTACCTACTTGGTTAACGTATTGTCTTTGTTTACATATGTTCTCATGATTAAACACACATACTGCACATGTACATTTCTGTTGGTCTTAGACAGAGGTATCGTTGCTAAATTCATCTTTGTGTTCACGTCTTGCAGGTCATTCGAGGCCTGATGGCAAACAGGAACTTTCTAGAACATTAACCCAGTGCTGCCTCATTTATTGTAGAGTCCAGACTATCAGTGTTGAGTCAATTTCAAAGCCATCAATATTGGAGAGGCCTTTCACTTTCTCTGGTTGTTTTCATTCAGATGTGAAGTGCTGGCTGTCTGCTTTCTCATCTGTGATGTTAACGTAAAAGACAGAAGTTTACAGAAAGTGGTATTACTTCTTTCTTTTTTTTTATTGCACTGACGGCTTCGATGGATGTCTTAATTTGTCGGTTGTATTGAAGTGTTTTTTTTTTCTTTTGAAAAGCCTTTAAAAGTATTTATACTGTATTTATATTGTGCTGCAAATACGGCAATTTTTGTTTTTCTCAGATACTGACTTGATTTTCTTCCCAAAGTGCTGTGTAATTGTGGCATTATTGAAAAAGAACTTACATTATGATGTCCTTTGTAAATATTTGCATTCTAATGTTTTGTAAAAATGAATAAATAAGTAGACCTGTGTCCTGATGAAATGTCAAATTATGTAAGTCAATATAAGCAGGTAGGCAGGTTCAGGGTTTAGACTTGCCTACTTGACTATTACAGTTACGTCTGTGTTGAATCATCAATATTGATATTGTATTTATTTAAAACCAAACATAACAGAACTATTTGGAAATAGATAGAACAAAACAGACGTACAGTAATATTCAAACTACATACAAAAGATGTATGGTTAACGCAATGGCAGGTAAGCTCATTTTATAATTAATTTCAGTGTTATGGTGTTTTGAAAAGAAATAAAAAAGAACGTGAAAATGTTCACGTTGTAAACTTAATGTTAACAAGATGACAACAACCTATTCACATTAAGTAAACGAAATAATGCTAAATATTTTAGAGGCTTTACATAGAGTTACTCAATAATTAAAAATGAGCTGAACTTGTACGACCTACGTGTTAAAACGTTCACTCAATCTTAAACTGTTTAAACTGTCAAGAGCCGACTTACTGTACAAACACCGAGGTGAAAGCCTGTGTAAACGTCACGTGACCGCCCTGAGCCAATGGGAGACTTTGTGGTTTTTCAGGACAGGTGCAGTTGAAGAAGCGGAAGACGCGCACCTCTAAATCTGTTGGCCTCCCGACTCTAAATCGTGTAACTAATGTTTAATAATGTCACCCGTACGTGGAGGTGAACCTAAAGCCCGGCTGCGGTAGAGGAAAACACCTGAGGCCGATGGCTGGGATTATTAAAGTGGTTTTCCTGTGGCTGCTACTCACCGGCTCATCGAGTAGCCAGACTTCACCTACTGTCGGTAAGAGCTTCACCAAAAAAATTACATGAAAGAAATCGTTCACTTGAAGTCATGCAACAAAAATGACTTTACAACGTGTCTTTATCTTTATCTTTGGGTTTGTAAGTCGTTGAATATTATTGCCCGTTATAACCTTTTGATGACTAATGGTAAACAGTCAGAAAACAGTTTACTGTCACGCTGTCACTCGCTGTTGTCTGGAAATAGGTTGACTACCAGAGATGGACTTTGGACTCTGAAGTCTCCATGTAAACTGGAATCACGGTAAAGAAGAAAAATTGATACAGAACAAGTAATGTAATAAATAGTGAAAGTTAATGGAACCAGAAGAGGGAGTTATTCAGGTTTTGTGCTGAATATCCAGAAGAACGAGTGCAGGTAGTTCAGTTAGGGGGTGGGGGTTGTTTTTTGGGCTCCCAAGAGAAAACTTGGGTCTTTACGTATTTGATTGCTGTAAACAAACTAGCCGATAAGTCATTATGTTTCTATTTTTCGCGAACCAGTTCACTTTTTTAAATGGGGAACGTCAGTGTAACTGTCAAACTGCCTTGTACTGCAGTTTGTACTAGTAACAGAATGGTCAGAGTCCAAACCTACAAATGCAGAAAAGGCGAATATTTAAAGAAGCACACGTCATCACTAGCATTACCATTGTTGGCCAGTAGAGGCTGGCTCCTCCAGTCTTGTCAATGTTATAAAGTAAACCTTATAATAGTTATGTTTTAAAAGCCACGTGTAGGTACATAGTTAGTTAAGTTCACATATCAATGTTTTCTTTAAGAACAGGATAACGTTATGTTAGTCATTTCCAGATGGCAGGCAGAAAAATAAAGAATAACGTCTGCTCGCTGCCTGCTTTTATATGATCACCTGTCATTTGTACACAGCTAAACTACATACAGTAGTAGTAATAACATGAATCAAAACTATCCCACAGTTAGGGTACAAATCAAATCTTAATCCTCCATCAAATATGAGATGGTGCTCACGTGTTTGCCTTTAAAATAACTTTTAATAAGATTTTATTTGAGAATGTTACTCAGCAAAAAGTACATTTACAGCCTGCCTGGGTGAAAGAGTAAACAGGGTCTGATTCACGCTTCATTACAAATTCACACTGTACAAAGCTGGAGTGTGTAAACAGTCAGTGACTGTGTGTAAAGTAACATGATAAAGGTAATCTAAATACTGCAAGAATGTGATAAATGGGCGGGGTAAAGGAAGCCCCTCCCCCTTCATTTATTTAATCTAAATCTACAGGAGTGGATCAATAGTCTGACGCAACCATTACAATGTTAACACATGCTGCATGTCAGGTCCTTCCTGGTTAAGACATCAAATCCCATATCTTTTTGTTACAGGTTTGAAGTCGTAGCTCATGAACTTGGTCAGAAACAGAATCAGCCACCAGAGGGCAGCATATATGTGCTCTAATGAGACTGAATTGTTATTAGCAGTTTAGATATAGGTAACTCAAACGTGCTCGAGTTCCTTGAAAATCTTTCACTGCTTCTCCAAAAAAACAAAAAAACAAAGGACTTTCAAGCACCCTTCCCAAACCCTGGGATTTTAGTCAATACTTATTGTTTATGTGTTTTAAAATACTTCATTATATGTGGAAACAATACATAATAGAGAAAAGACAGTGTGAAATATTCATTTCTCCACTATGTATTTTTCAGCTTGTGTGGACGGGAGCAGGTTTAAGGAGCAGGTTCTGTTTGTGGGGCAACAGAGGCCGCCCTTTCACCTCAACTGCTCCTTGGAGGGTTTACAGGTCCAGAACTCCAGTCTGACCTGGCAGAAGAACTGTGAACCACTCCACAATCAGGAGGGGAATGCCTACCTGGAGTTCAGTTTCCTGACCCTTGAAGACCAGGGCAACTATACGTGTACACAACAAAAAAACAGAGATACATTCACTGTGCGTCTCATAGTTAAAGGTAAGTAGTATTTAAAAGCCAAAAAGTATCAAATGTTGAAGTGGGTATAAACCTGTTCCTGTAGTGATGATCCACATAGTAAGACACTATTTGAATGTTTAGAAAAAGGAAGCGTTTGTTAGCAGCGGGGTTAGTCGTGAATGGACAGGCTACACCTGGTGCAGGCATTTGGTTTCAGTGTACCTTACAGAGAACTTCTTTATCACTCCCTGGCCGGGCACATGAAGGCCTCTATTGTCTGCAGCTTTTGCAGCAGTGACAGAAAACAGTGGTTTGTCTCCACACAGAGTCCCAGTGCTCCAAACCCCCAGACTTTAAACCAACGGCAGGTCTGACCACAGTGTGGGCCAGTTGGGAATCAACAGTCCACCTGAACTGCACTGCTGTCCTTTCCTGGGACCCAAACCAGGAGCAGTGTGACAGCACGCTGCACTGGAGCAGAGATGGTCAACCGTTAACCAACGTCTCGCTTCACATGCAAAATTCTTCCTCATGGTGATTCACACACATTTTTATTAATGCTGACATGCTAGACTTTGAGACCGAAGGTAAAGTTTTTCATTCTGCTTTGTCAGGTCTCCAGTTCCTGGTCAGCTGGTGGTTAACAGTCTGCTGACAGTTACTATCAAGGAGGAGGAGGATTTTGGGCTGTACAGCTGCACAGTGAGGAATGTGTCGTCCGACTTCAGCCTACAAAACTCGAGTAAGAGAAAGACACCGTTTTTGGTACTGTGTGTAAACAGGAAGAAGACCACGGGAAAAAAAAAGTCGCACAGAAAGTGTGTGTCTGCAGATGATGTGAACACAGTTGATATTTTTATTCCATTATTCTGGAAGTAGATCGACTTTTGAGGAACTTTGTTTTGTAACAATCTTGGTTTGAGGGTGAACTCTGTTTGATTACACTCATAGTAGTTCTGTTCTCTTCTAAATACCTCCAGACAGGCCGAGCCACACAGCTGCTGTCGTTGCAGCCACCGTTCTCCTCTTATTACTGGGTATAGCTGCTGTCGTGTACTCTAAGTGTCACCTCAACCTCAAGATCTGGTACAAGAACTCCTTTGGAGAAATTGAAATGAACGGTGAGACTGCTGTGACTCACTCTGGCCATGAATGTGTAATAAAATGTTGATGATGGTAAAGAACTGATGAAGACACTACTGTGTCCCTGTGTGAACAGATGGGAAACTGTATGACGCCTACGTCTCCTACGTGAACAATGACCACGACAGGAAGTTTGTCAACTTTATTCTCAAACCTCACCTGGAGAATAAAAATGGATATAAATTGCATCTGAATGAGAATGACATCCTACCAGGTGGACGTAAGTTCAGTCTGACGGGAGTCAAACAGTAGTTGGTGTGCTCGTTGATGATTGGTCGCTTACATTAATCGTACACTGTCTTCAGAACCTTCTGCAGAGTTGCTGATGAACGTAAGTCGCTCACGACGGCTCATCGTTCTGCTCAGTCACGCTTACCTGGAGCAGGACTGGTGCTGCAGTAACTTCAGGTGAGGTGTCCCACACAGACGGAACACTGACCTCCATCAGTGGGTCCACTTGCTTTCTGTGACATGTCCACGTTCTCTGTCCGTCTGAAGGCAGGGACTGCTGCACCTGCTGGAGTTAAACCAGCGGCCCATCCTCATCATGTTAGAGGGTCAGACCAAACGCATGAGGCCTGAGACCAAGCAGCAGCTGAGTGAGCACCAGCACTGTCTCACTGTCCTCACCTGGAGACACGACTCTGTGGTAAGAATGAGATCATGCCAATCTGGTATAGAAGGCCAGAAAGACCAAATTTAACAGTAAGCATCTCGGCCGTCATCATTTCACCAACACGTGCTTTTGGTCAAACAGAATCACATTCATGATTCTTCTGTGTTTGAATTCAGCAGACAAAAAAAATTGTACTCTGAGGTTAACGGTAATGAAGGCCACTATTAGAAGCTCCGATGGCTGTTCTCCTGTGTTCTCAGAATAATGACGTGTCGTTCTAACCATCGTGGTCCTGTGTTTGGTTTTCATAGACTCCATTTTCAGTCTTCTGGAAGGAGCTGTCTTTAGCCATGCCACGGCGGGTCGTCTTCCGTTCTGAGTACGCAGGCGACCCACAGACGGTGCTGCAGGATGACAAGGACCCCATGCTGACTCTTGAACCAGACTACTTGAACTGCCACCCAGATACAGACCCTGCAGGAGATCTGGGTAAAACTGCTGTCATTACTGTAGGAGGCACCACAGCATTTAGTTATTGATCTACTAAAACCTTTTTTTCTTCTCTCCTGCCAATGAAAGAACAGCCGTGAGCTCTGCACACATTTCTCTGAGGAAGATTTATTTAAAAGATTTCAATGTCTAAAAAAAATGCAGAGACAAGTGAGTTCATGTTGAACAAACATAACTCACATCCAGAACTGTATATCAATCAGTGGCAATGGGAAACGAAAGGGGGAAAAAAAGAGCTCAGAGAACATATGTTGTCTTGGAAGGATTCACTACTGTGAAACAGAACCTTTAACAGCCACAGACAGAATTGTGTATATTGTAGTCTAACACACTGTGTAACAGCTGTGGAGTTATGAAAAAATAGGGTAAATATCCAACCAGGAGCCAATCAGATCAGATATGCAGTCATGTCCACAGTGATACTACAGCTTTTGTTCTGTTGCAGGTCTCCGTATTCCCGTCTATAAGACTCTGTCCCGTAAAGCTCCGGTCCTTCCTAACGCTCCGATCACAGACACTGAGCCCAGACCCTCGGCGATTGATGTGTCAGACCTGGGTTCTCGCAACTACGCAGCACGCTCGGATTTCTACTGCTTAGTCACTGAAGACATCTGAGATGTGTTTCTTTGCCTTTTTTTGTTTCATTATTGTGTTGTTAAACAAAAGAGTGTTCTGTTTTCCTCACACCAAAGAAAATACGTTTTTTTTTGTTTTTTATATGTTGTGTAGTGTTTAATTTTTTTTTACAAATTGTCTTCTTAGCAAGCAGGAAATTAGAGAGATTAATTTAATCTCTATATATATAAAAAAATCTTTCTCACTGTGTTCTTTTGTCCTCCAGCAGAGGGCAGAGTCCTGTCAGATAACGGTGAGGAACCCTGCTTTCACAGAAGAGATTCATAAGGACATATTCACATATAACATGTACTTGACTTTCATATTTAAACTTCCAACAGTACTGCTCATATTCCAGTTTTTTATGTATCGAAAACTCAGATTTACTTTTGACGCTGCAGTTTGGGACTGAATCCGACCTCGAAAACAAAGCAAATTGACAAAATCAGCAGTCTTTCCTACCGCTAATCCTGCTGATAATCTGTAATGATTATTTTTACTGAAGCATAAAGCCAAATAAGGGCGCAGCTGAGCTCATCCAGTATTGTTCCTGTGTGAGAACGATCAAATATGTAAACAAGATGGATGTGTACAAGGGGTGGGGCCGACATTTCAGCATCTGAACTTAACATTTAACAAACAAAAAAATACTGCAGTAGATACTGCACATAGACAGGAGAAATCCCCAGAAGAATACATTCTCTCTTTATTAGCTCAAAAATATCCAGATAATACAAGTACTTTATACAACACAGGCAAATATAAAAGACGGTGTTTCTCCAAATCACCAACATAACTGCAGTGTAATATCCAAGTATATTTTTTTTTAATTAAAAGGACAAATACATAAAGGTTCAATTTTCCAACTGAACAATGCTGAGTGCTGCAGAGGCTTTCAAATTCAAAACAACTTAGTGTTTGCTTTGACAACACATTCTTCCTCACACCCGGTTAACACACACTAATACATCAGATAAACAGCATGTACGAAGGTGAATTGGAGAAGAAGAAAAAAAAACAGTAGTAGTTGTGGTTTGTCTGTCTCTTTGACAAAAGAATTGCTAAATTTGCAGGATCAAACGGACGAGAGGTTAAAAAAGCTCTATGGTAAATACAGTAGTGAATTCTAGAGGCATAAAATCTTTATCCCATGGTCTATAATGATGCATAACATTCAAATTTATTCACACACTAAATATAAATTCTCTGGTTTACATTCAGTATTCGCTATATGTTATTTCATATTTTTGAACATTCATGTAGGACTGAAAAAAAAAACGCTTTACTGAACATACAATTAAATTTCTGTGTAAAAGAGGAAGTATTTACAAAAAGGCTTTCAATACCAACTTGTTCTGCATTTAGGTTGTGGCTATAGAAATAAGGCACTACAGTTTAAACGTTTATGAAGAAACAAAGATATACCATAATGCTTTTTTTTAAAAAACTTATATACCTTTGAAAAAAAAAAGTCCCTGATTCCACATTAAACACACAAACAGCTCAATCATTGGGAAGTAAAGGTGCACCATGAGGCCATCATCAGTCCATCATGACACACCGTGTTCTGAGTTGTCAATCAACCCACACTTGTTGGTCAACTTTCTTTTAGCAAAGCATGGGAGATAAAGATTTGTTTTGTTAGTATGAAGAGTTTGTTTAAAAGTTGTTGTTTTTTCCTGCTGGTGATTCGTATCACTGTCCTGTTAGGGGTTAGATGGACATGTCTGCAAAATCCACCCTTGAATATCCTTTCTGTAAAGGCAAAAACAAACAATACAGATCTAAATATTTGTCGAGAATCAATTCAATTAAATTACAGGCTTGAATTGAATTGCTTCCAAAAAAAATGGTAACAAGCAGGGGTCAACACCGACCAAATCAAGATGGTTACGTTTTTGAAAAAAGAAAAAAGTTAAGAATTGTAATTAGTAGAGCTGACACCTGGTGTTAAAATATTTCTAGAAGTATTCTGGTGACGGATGCTTTGAAATTGACATAAAACCTTTCCACAGTTCACCAAATGTGGATCAGGTTAGGTCTGAGGATTCATAAAAAACTGTAAGGCACGCAATAACACATTATTGCTCTGTTGTGACTTGTACATTAGGAAACCAGCTCAGTGCCGCACCCCTGGGAGGGGCAAGTGGTAATCTGCAGAAGGCAGTAAACCTCCGTACTCCTGCTCAAGACCAGGCCTCGCCTCACTGGGTGTGTCTCTGTGTGTGTGTGTGTGTGTGTGTGTGTTGAAGGAACAAGAGTGTGAACTGCCAGAGATTTGCGTTCTAAACATATGCCAACCAACTGATGAGGGATCGCAGAGGGCGAAGAATGTCACTGATCTCACTCACTCTCTCACTCACTCTCACACACACACACACACACTCTCGGTTGTTCACCCTCACTCTTTTGTCCTGGGTTCACAGCCAGAGGGCGGGGCTTCACTGGAGGCAGATCTAACTTGTTGTTTCTTCTGTAGAACACTCTGACTTAGACATTAAATATTGTCTTTTGTAACGCTCTCGGTTCTCGTTGGCCCAGAATGACTCCTCTGTTATTTACATCTGAAGTGGCCTCCACCTTGACTATGTCTTCACCAAACTCTGACTCTGTCATCGCCAAACTCACTACCATTTTTCAAACCTAGCATTTGCAGATCCGTCAGTTACCGATTTACCAGGAAACTGTAATTATGTTGTTCTCCATGAGATCATGTTCAAATGTCCTCTCAGCTTTTGTTATACTAGCGTAAGAAGGATTGTTCCAACAATGTATCAGGTAAATCCTGCCAAAATAACCGTGGTGAATTTTCTTACTGACTGACGGAAGTTTACAGGAGCCAACTCCTGCTGGACAGAAGTGCTATTACATCATAAAAGAATTTAATTCTGGCTCAGAACAACTGACTTCTTAGTACCTTTAGGGATTGTGATGATATCTGATGACTGCTGTGTCCTGAGGCATGACAACATCCAGTCCAACCACAACATCCAACCTCATCCTAAAGTACCACTAATCTGGTTTCTAACTTCTGGTGTTCTCCCTGTTCAACCAACGGCAACACATTCTGCTATGAAGGAATTCCCTGATGGAGAATTGACCATCCATCAGTATAGCATTTTTTATTTTATTATTATGAAGCACTCACCTGTTTGAACTGTTTGTGCAGTTTCTTGTACTGGAACATGTTGCTGAGAACTGTGGCTGCTGCTTTAGCTGCTTTCATCTTCCCAGAGCTTGGACAAAAAAAAAAAAAAAAAAAAGGAAAACCAGTTCAAAGAACATCGAAAAAACTTTGTGTAACATTTAGCCCATGTAGCCATGTCATAAAAGGTGTAAATATCTTCAGTGGAAATTCACCTGCTGTTGGCCGATTCTTTGATGGAGATCAGTTTTGGAATTCCGTCAAAGTAGGTGATGTCTCTGGCAGCTAAAGAGCTGCAGGTCACCAGGTTGTTGAGGACACCACAGATGTTGACCACCACATCGCTGGACGGCTCCTTCTGGTGTCCATCTGCTGGCAGCTTGGTCACCATGTGGTTCACGACCTTTGTTGCTGAACAAAAAAAAAAAGAAAAGGAAACAACAAACAAATATATTTTGTTAGACTGACTTCTCTTTGTCTTTGTTAAGACTTGCTAATATAAACATTGGGTTTTTACTTTGATTACTAACAACTCAACGATGGAGACAGGAACCATAAGCTCACATCATTACCGACCAGTTGTTTGAATATAAGCAGTCCTAACCTCACATTTGTTTTCTATTTAAATAATAATTAAATTTCAGTGTTATTGACAAATAAATTATTCTTCTTGGTTTTCCAGATGTTCCAATTCTCCGATCATAAATTCTGCCTCAGGAATTCAACTCTAATTCTTCTCTGAAACGAGAATAAATCCTTGTTGTATATAATTTTGTACAAATGAGCTAGTGATAGAAATCAGTTTGAAAAAAGCCTCAGGTTAAATATGTTTGAATGAAGGTAGAATAGTTTCAGTAGTCGTGTTTCCACGGTGATACGAAAATGAGGGTGTCGTGGCTAATCTGCATTTGCCGATAACACAGAGGAATTCTCTCGTCTAGCATCTAGCGTCATGAAGAAAATAATTCACAGACTTACCCATGTCGTTCTTGTCTCTGGCATGGCGAGACAGATTTCGGAGAAGCCCTGTGATGGAGCGCAGCTCCAGGTCGCTGTTTGTACGCAGACGGTCCAGCAGCACGGGCAGAATGCGTTCCTGCTCCAGAGCCACACGGCTCAGCACTGACGCCCACTGCAGAATAAAAAAACCTACATGAGAAACCAACTCAAACAAGAATTTTGACACATTCTACAAGATGCACAGCAACATCTACTAACACTGCGAAGCTAAATACTTATGTTTCATGACATTTTAAAAATTCCATCATTTGGATTAGTCAAGAATGTTGATTTTTTTTTTTTTACAATTAATCATGATTATTCCACAGTGATCAAAATAATTTGAAATTTTAATCTTTCTTTAAATATCTGTTTATGGTAAGATGAATAAAGGTGCTGCTCACTCTCTTGTCTCCAGCTGTGATGTTCTGCAGAGCTCCAGCTGCTGCCTCACGGGTGGTGGAGTTGATCTCGCACGTCATCAGCAAGTTGTTGTACAGTCCAACTATCTGGGGGTGCCACAGCCACTCAGTGCCCTTTGGTACTCGAGCCACCTCAGTGAACGTGGACAGGTCCTGTTTCCTGCTCTGTTAACATGGAGGACGGTTGGTTTCACACGGACACTCCAGTTAAGGTATTCAACCTTGTCATTTAAAATGTGTACATACGTTCTTGGCTTTCCTGCTGTGAGGCGCGAAGCAACCAATACCGTCGCCCTTTCCTGAGTCCTGATCTCTGGTTGGTCCTTCCAGACGTGCCATGACAGACGTCGGCATCTCAGTGTACAGTTGGTAGGACAGGTTTCTCAAGACACACACAGCATTTTCCACACCCTGACAGGAGGAGATTCACTGATGTTCACTGGACGGGTCGTAGTACTACAGGACAGCAGCTCTGATTCCAGTACTCTCCTGGACACTCACCTTGTCTTCTGCCTTGTTCTGTTCAAGGGAAGCCCTGATGTAGCCAACCAATGAGTCCACCAGTCCGTGTGTCTGTCTCATCTGCTGACGGGTCTTCTCATTCACGGAGCTCAGGTTTCTGATGAAGCACAACCAACAATGCCAACATTGTTAGTTTTCTGTTTTGACAAAAATAGGACCTTCCTGTTATGTACCCCGGGGGAAACGCCTGGTCTTTTACCTGAGTTCACTGTTACAACATAATGTTGGAATATATTACAGCTGTCAATTTATTTTATCTCAATGATTAACTCATGACTAATTAGTTATATCTTGTTCTGCCATGTGTCAAAGTGGCTGACACAAAACAGGAGCAGGATTATATTTCATCTTATCGTCGTTTCTGTCATCTATCTATTAGTTCTGATGGCTCTCTGACTTTGATTTTTTTTTAAGACAAGTGATTTTACACTGGATATAAATAACATATACTATAAATGTAGTGTGTTGGTCAGCTACTGATCACAGACTGCTGACCATGGATGGCTAAATAAAGCACAGAGCTCCACTGTTCTGTAAAGATGTACACCTCCATTTAAACAACCGTGTGACGTCCTTAAAGTCACATTCTAGCATACTATGCCTTAAATCTATACCAGTGTTTCCCAAACGTTTCTGTAGCGCCACCGTTTGTTGGTAGGACTACTTCTGACCTTCGTCAACATCTACACAGCTATGGCTTCAAAATCATTGAATTTTTCCGCAACAAGTCTGTGCCCCCCAAAGGGGCACCACCCCACTCTTTGGGAACCACCAGCATTACAAACACTAGCATGTAGACAGAGTCTTATGAAAGGTGGAGTAATGACGGCTTTTCAAATGAACAAAGAGACGTCCTGACTCTGGTAGCTGTCAGCTGACACATTAGCTCAGGTGACCTGTCAGAACAAGTTGACTGAATAGAAATGTATTCACAGGAGACAGCAGAGCTACAGCAGAGCTACAGCAGAGCTACAGCAGAGCTACAGCAGAGCTACAGCAGAGCTACAGCAGAGCCGAGAGAGAAAACACACATGGTGCTGCTACAGAGACAGGACACGGGTGACCGATTGACTGATGTACCTGAGGCATCCTGTGGTGTTGTAGAAAATGTCAGCCTCAGAGGGGGAGTGATGGAGCTCCTCCGAGTCCCCGCTGCCAGACAGAGGGATGAGGATCTTCTCAGTCAGGTCGGGAAGAGTCTCCCTGGCCAGCTTCTCCTTCAGATTGTCCTTGGATGAGAGATTCCACAAGATTCCTGCTCACAGAACAGACAGTTGTTCCATTAGAGTCTGGGTTCTGAACGTGTTCTTGGACTTTTTGTGATCCCTAAAGCCAGAGTTGGGAGAAAGACTGGCTTCATATTTACAATCAGGATTAAACTGGACGCCATTGACATCAATCTTTTCATTAGAAATTGACCAGAAACCAAATATGCAGATACCACATAGTTAATCCTCTAGATCACTTGTGTCAAACTCAAGGCCTGCGAACCAAATGCGGCTCACCAAGTCATTTTGTGTGGCGCTGGGCAACTTAAAAAAATTAATTTAATTTTCTTTATGATAAATCTAGTTTACAAAACATTTATACATTTTTTTTCTGAATATTTGAGATTTACCAAAAATGCAGAAAGATCCAGCAGTGATAAATCAGGGCTTAGCATTCATGTTACTGGCTCCTTGACATACAAGTGTGTGTGCAGCGGAGTCACAGGAGATCCACATGTCCAGACAACTCGTATCCACTCCCCCAATCACACCCATACACACCCTATAGAAATAACCCATCTTTGAACCTCTGCATTCCATACACAGTACTATTGCATGGGAATGTGCTTCATGCTATTTCCATTTCTGTGCGAACATGCAGACTGTAAACATGTTTTGTTAGACCACTGTACAGACGTCTTAACGCAGACATGCTGCTGACAGCTGAGCAAAGTGGAACTGATCCACATCAGAGCAACCGTGGAGTTCAGAACAGATGTCCGCACATCAAACCAAATCTGTCCATTACCTCTTGGAAAAAAAAGACCCTAACTTAGTTACAGTATACACAGAGAGTCTGGAACCTTCTGTTTGTGTCATGTGTACTAATATCCATTTCAAAAGGCTTCTGTTCACTGCAGGTATTTAAAGGACACTGTTGCCAAGATCCCGCTGCCTCCAAAACCAAACTCATTTGCATCAGTATTTTTTTCCTGACACAAAATTCCCTCAGCCTCAGAGTCTGAGCCCAGCTCATCTTGTCGCGTCATGTTTGTTCATCTGAAGGGCTGATTTTCTCACCTGTGATGTTTTTGTGCAGCTCGTCGTTGGAGTCCTTCAGCGCCTCCGTCAGCTGTCCAATTCCACCCTCTTCGATCAGGGCCACTTTGTTGTCCATGTTTTCGTAGATGAGGTTCCGTGCCGCACCGGTGGCGTAGCACTGCACCTCCTCGTTCTCACTGTTGAACAGCTTCACCAGATCAGCAATGCCTTTCAGACGACGCACCTAAAGATGAAGAAGTCTCAGTGTTAGCTCAGGGTCCCTAGACTAGGACGGGAAATTTAGTTGGCTAATGAATGACAAATTGACTGTGTTTATCAACATCTCCCCTCCACCCATCTACCACTCATTCTTTTGCAGGGTCGTGGGGGGGCGCTGCCAATCCCTGGTTCACTATGCACAATTCACCCGTCCATCACAGGACCACTTGTAGAGACAAATAAAACCGTTCACACTCTCATTCACACCACCGGACAAACTTAGGATGTCCGTTCAATCAAATGTCTCAATGACATTGTTTGATCTAGTTGTAAAAACAATCACATGGCCCTCATCAGACATTTATTTTAGATGATTAATTCAACTTTTTTTAAGTGACTTTTATATCATTTCCACTGATAATGTCTCCTGAATGCCAACATCTTTTGGTCCTCTGGGGTCAAACAATGACTGCACCTTGATTTGATTGTTATTAAAGGTATAAACTGTTAATCTATTCTATTACAGATGAAGTCAAACTTCAGTTCAACTTTTTTTTTTTTTAATTAATTTAAAAACTAGGTCCTCTAGTTGTTTCATGCACCACAGCATGGGGAACATCACTGTTGTCATCATTTTCTCAGTTGCCACAAATCACTCTTGATAACAGTCTCAATATGGCAAAAACAATTCTCTACCTTCTGTTGATGCACAAAATGTCTCACTCTACATGACACTGCTGCACATTACACTTTGCACAGTGAACCTTTGACCCCAGTCACCAGTTAACATCACGTAACAGTTCACCATTTTACCCTGAGTCAACACCTGTACAGGACAGAGTTCATATACAGTAGAGGTGCAGCAATGATAGAAAAGGCACAGTGTGGAGTGAGTTACATTAGGACAGGGAGAACAGAGATAAAGCTGCTGCTGCTGCTACTGCTCTGCCTTCTTTTTTAAAGTAGATATGAACAAACATCCCCCACGCTGGATGTCCACAAATGACCGTAAACCATTTGAGTGACTGACAACTATGTCTGTGGTGATTACAGAGAGGACAGATGCAGAGGAATTTCAACCGCAGGTTCTAATCTGTTTTTATTACCTCATTTTTGGCCTCGTTGTCATTGTAACACTCATGTTGAATGTAGGCGGCGCCCAGGACCTGCAGGTCGTGGTCAGACTCTCTCAGGTGTTGCACTGCTGTGGGCATGTCCAAGGAGTTGATCCTGCCCAAGGAGCAAATCAACAAATTCAGGTCAGTCATGGAGAATGTTTCATCATGTGGTTACACTGTTGTTCATGGTTGGTGGCTCAAGACACTGTGTGTCCTCTGGATGTTATGAATAAAAAGCCACACAGCAGCCACAGTAAATATTCTTATTTATTTCTTGTCTAAAAAAATAGATGGCTTCAATGTTTAAAAAAAAAAAAAATCCCACAGTGGTCTGCAGCTCTGTGGGATGTGTGAAATGTTAGGACTGAAACTAAGCTGCCACACCCAAAACCAGTTCTGCCACAATGGAGCCACCTCCCAACACACGGCGCACACTTTACCTCGTACACACCCTCACAGAAATCTCATGACACTGCTGTTGTGACACAATTGCTCTGCTGTATTAGATTCACTGTCACTGGCGTTTGACTAAATATCCTCTCACTTCACACATTAAACTGAGCCAGTGAATAAAGGAAACACTCCATTAGTGAGTCAGGTAATTACTAAAGTAAAAATATTATATGTATGTCTACAAATATGGCTCTTAACACTATGTTTTTCTCACTTCTTGACGTCTTGACACGCCCACATCTCTTTATTTGTAAAGTTTTAGAATTGTATTAAATAGTTGAATACCAAATATATACAGTTAAATACATTTTTATCAAGTTTTAACAGCATTACTCCTAAGACGTTAGAGTTAGGTTAAAAACTCAGATGTCTGTTTGTCTTTGTCCGTCTGCAAACATGACTATTCAACAGAAAAAGAAAAAAAGCTCAGAGGCTGACATCAGCTAATGTGAAGACTGAACGTCGCATGAAAGTTGGTGTTTCATCTTGCATTGCACCTGTAACGATATTTTGAGCAACTTTGATTTAACGATTTGTTGTGTTAGGTTATATTCTAACTTTGAGCTGTGTTATAGTGACCAGTAGTACATGTCTAGATAAGTTGGATCACCCTGTTGTAACACTTGATATTAAAAGTAGAGAAAATTAATATATATTTAAGATAAATTATAAAATAAAAACATCAACAACAACGTGTACTGAACTTGTTGTAAACAACAATCACATACTGGGAATACGTCAATCGCAATATTTGAACACGCATTAAATTAAACAATACACAGTGAGTGTAAACAGAAATAACATTCTTGGACATTCTCACCCGCTGAGGTTGCCCATGCTGATTCCCCTCTCCATCTGCCCAGGGTAGATGTCACCGCCTCTGCCCACACTGTGCATGCTTTTGATCGACATGGCACGAGAAAGGGTTCCCGGACGCATCATTAGGTTTGACTGGGAACCCGAGGACATTCCGGAAATGAACCCTCTGTCCACCGTGTCGCTTCCCCTGACATAGGAGACCCCCGACATGGGACCTAAACTCATCCGGTTTCGGTTTGTAATCCTGCTGATGGTGCGGTGGGCTGGGCCTTTGAACGAATGCTGCGGGCCAATCTCAACATCTCCTCCCGTCATCCCCCCGGCACGGGACAACGTACCGCTGAGCGATCGTTGCAGGGTTGGCACATAGGCCGCGTTGCCCCCACCCTGTCTCACCTGGGTGGTGTTGTAGCCATTCATTGTGCACTGGCCGTACTGACGGTTGAAGGTGGCATCCCGGTCTGAGATCAAGCTGCCGCCATCGCTGCCATCCATCATCCAAGGATTGATGGTCATTGGCTGTTGTCTCATTGAATGTACGGAGTAGTTCTCTGATTCTCCACGGCTGTGCTGTCTGACTGGTACCTGGAAGCCTCCCATGCGCATATCCTCTCTGTACATGCTGCCACCGCCACCACCACCTCCTCCTCCAACCGTGATCCTGTGGAGCTGAGCTAGATCTGGGCCAGCAGACTGGCAGCTGAAACCAGACTTCTGTGATATACGTGGGCCCTGAGGAGGAGAAGGAGGAGGAGAGAAGTGGTCACAGGGGTGACAGAAGTTACTCCTCTTAACCTGTTGTGACTCAACGTGTGGATGACTTTTCCATTTGCCAAATACAGGTTCTAACTTTATTTATCACAGGAGCATAACCAATGCCGTGGAGGCCAGAGATTTTATCCTTAGTGCATTTCCCATGGTGATTTCTATTTCTCAAACAATCTGATAAGTGATGAGTCAAGTTGGCAGAGCAGTAATCATAGAAATCAATGATTCGAGTTTAGAACTTCTGCTAACAGCTCAAATATGTGTGGCGTGAAGCCAGTACTTCCTGTTTAATCAGTCACACCAAAGAATTTCGAAGGCTGACTTGAAAACCCTGAGCTGATCCCATCACAGCCTAGTGTGACATACCACACGTGTTGTGACCTGGATGACCCACCGCCACACTAGCAGAGGGTCAGTGGTGATATGTATAATACTGTACGTGCAAACACACAGTGAGGTAGTGAACTAACGCTGCAGTACTCACCATTGTCTTGGAGCCTGAGTACATATAGGATGACTTTGAGCTGTAGCCTGGGGTGTAGCTTGGATACTTCATTGTTGAAGAGCCACCATAATCTGGTAAAACACAAAGCATACCAACATTAAGATGGAGAGAGGCTACAATTCATTTTTATACAAATATAAAGAGAATTTTGTTGGATTTCAACATCTGATTCCAGTTTGAATGTTTTCTTTTCCCCACTATTTTTGATTTTCAGATTCAGATTCAGCCTGACTCAGCTTCTTCTGTTCCCGAGACAGTGACTCAGGTTTCACATTTGCCTGTGAGGTCAACAAAGGGAAGTGATCACTGCAGGCAGTCTTTACAAATGCGTAAGCACACATTAAATGATCCTATTTTGATCTCGTAAAGACTGGCTTTCATGAACAGAACTTGGCCAGAAGATCAGGTGACCTCTGACTGGTATATCAAATAGTCTCTGAGCTCCGCTGCACACATAAACCATACTGTGTTTAATCTGCCCTGACGAAAAACCAACAATCGGAACATCTCTTACTTTCCCATTCAAATGCGTCTTCAAAAATTCCAAAACAGCAAAGGGAAACTACATGGCTAGAAAAAAAAGTCACACTTCCAGACAGAAAGAAAAAGTAAAAGAAATAAAGAGTTTTCACACAGCTATTAATCAGAACAGAATTTAATATTCACATTTGGAATAATATATTCCTGGAGCACTAGTAGTTTTTTTTTTTAAATAAAGACACTGTGTTGTAAAGCTGCCTACACTTAGTTGAGTCTATGGAATTTTTATTTTTTGATCTTTTTGGCTTAATTAATAATGCAGATGTTAGTTTTTTAAACATTTTGTTGGAAATGGGGTGTGTAAGAAAGAAGTGATCAGGTGGTCAGTTAGACCACATGGGGCTAAAAATTAACAGTTGGTTTCCTACTGCACACAGTCTGTAATAGGAGCATCTGAGTGGACATCGTCTCCGATGTCCACTGTTACAGTTCACGTGGCCTCTGACACAAACACAGTTATCCTCATCTGTCAGCACAAACAGCATGTCAATGTTTAGGTACCGCTTCAAGGTCTAGTGACCTAATATTAATAGTGGCTAATATTAATGTATTATATTATATTATTTTTGCAACATGGAGGATTCCAACTCAGTTTGACCCACTGCCTCCCTTGTAGAACAGTTCTGTACATGTTCAGATTGTTTCCTTACCGTGTTCTGTTATGTCAGTGGAAAAAAAGGTTCCTGCTCATTTAATTAAAATAAATAAATAAATTATAGAAAGCATGTACTGCATATCTTTATGAGCAGTCTAGTAATTATTCTGTTTATCTGCAGCAGCTGAAATCCTTAAGAGGAACACATTAGGTTTTCCAAGTATTTCACTTTGACATGCTCACTCAAAAACAAGTTTTCATTTATTGACAGTATGTCGTTGGGATACGGGTTTACCAACGCATCTTTTTTAATCTTCTAGGGAACAATGCGATTAAATCTTACTTTTCCAGTAACCAATTTCTTGCCTTGAAGACATCCAGACAGACAGAATTTTGTCATTGATTTGTACTACTTTCTACTTGCAGAAGATACATACATGAAGCCCCAATGACAGTAGAAATATGTAGACAAGAGCAGTCGACTAAAACATCTTTGGCCTGGCTTCAGCCCAACCCTGGCAACGCCCAGCACACCTGTGAGCCAAAGGATTTACAACCCCTGCATCATTTGAAAAGTGAACTTTGCTCCTTAACCCAACAATCAACAAGCACATGCAAATGTCATGTAGTCATGTAGAAACCACCACTCAGTCTTTCCACTCTCACCATCTTTCCACACTTGTTGACATGTGAACAATTAGTGTTATTATTGTTATGAAGGGCCTCACTGTTGCAACCTAGAAAAGGTATTCAAAAGATGAACATTTTCCTGAAGTTCTAAACTTCTGGAAAACTTCCTAACATCTTTCTGTAGAAGTTTACAAAAACTGTACGTGACAGTCCTTTATTAGGTTGACAGTGCAAGCCCTTCAGGGGAATACAGAAAAAAACATTCTCCTTCTTTCTCATGCCACAGTATAGTGTTGTTTTAAACGAGGCTGTGCTGCTCAGCCTTAACACAAGCTATTAAATGACTTGGAATTTCTTTTTGTGCTTCAGGGAGCTGCAGGCAGGTGTACGGGTCGTTACCATATTTCTTAAGTGACAGCAGAAAAGCCTGCTGTGTATTCAAGTCTGCCCTGGACATGAATACATAGGCAGGCTTTTTACTGGACTTCATAGACACTGAACAACTGCATTCACCTGGTTCCCTTCCCTCCAAACATTGAATTGCTGTTGACAGATCAACTTTTTACAGTGTTCTAACCACAGTCAGTTCTCCCAAAATTTTTGACATCCCCCTGCTATCTCGTCAATTCTGGCCTTGTAAAATAAAGTCAGACCCGCTGAAACCCAACCCAGCAGTGGGAGGCTTTCCCCCTCTATCTGGGTAGAGCATGAACGCACCACTTGTTTGGGCCTGTTACATATTAACCCTTTGTCAAGTGCAGGTACTAAACATAGTGTAAAAATCAAGATTGTGAGAGGATTGTACGGTCTTCAGTTCCTCATAGACGATGCCACAAAGAAGCTGAATAGGCAAATTCTTTAAGAAAAAAAAAGTTGCACAGCAACTACCCAGACACCCAAACATGCAATAATGCAGAACACACATTTTCCCAGAAACTCCAGAATTATTTTCTAATATTTACCAAGCTTACCATCACAACGACACACAATATGATACGTATGAGGATTTTTTTTAAAATTCCAATTAATAATAAATAATGAGTCCAGCTCTTCAGGACCATTGTAGTTTTCAAAAATGTTACAGTAAAGGTCTAGTAAAACATTTCATTGTTTCTCTTAGTGGAAGTTCAGTAGTGAATTAACAACTGTTACTGCTGACTACAGTGAAAACAGTTCATTTCTTCCGTTTTTTCTTCTCTTCATTGTTTGTTTTTGCTCAGGGGGATGACCAGCTGTGTTAACACCACGGTCCTCTAAAACACCGGCACCTGCTTTTATTCATAAAACTATAATTCCTCCACTGTTTGCCAGTGAACCCTAACCAGCTTACCGTGCAGCGAAAAGTTAGAATATCCCATGTTGCGAAGCATTACATTACTCTGGTGTTGTATGTAAACAGAAGTTACATTTTTGTATCTTACCTGACATGGCGTAATGCGAGGAAGAGCCGTTCTGTCGCGGAAGTGTGGACTTCTCCGCCAGTCTCATCTTGACCTGCTGCTGGACTCGCAGCGTCCTGGACATCTCGTCCGACAATGAGCCTCCATGCTCCAGGTGGCTTTCAGACGGCAGCCCGTAGGTGGTGACGGAGGTGCTGGGCTGTAAAGCGGAGTAAAACGCAGTCTCTGAGGCCACGACACTCATGGTGGTGAAAAGTTAAGGGAGACGCTGGTATGGCGTCGGGACTGAACAGCGGAGAAACAGGTTGTTTCCTGACAGCAGCTACAACTGAATAGAGCGGCTGATAGAAGAGAGAAGGGGGGAGGAGGGAGGGGAGCAAAGAACAGCAGGGGCAGCAGCTAGAGGAGAAGGGAGGGGAGGTGGGGCTTCGGGGAAGAGCGCACACCTGAGCAGCAGGTGAGAGATATCCTTGTTCTGACTTTCGTACGTCTGCTCTGTGACGTGTTACAGCAAGATTCTGCTTTTGTGCTTGATTTAGAAGTAAATTAGAAGTAGAAAACAGAGAAAACCTCACAGTAAGTAAGTCTTCATAAAGTTGTCTAACAGCTCTGAATTTGCAATACTACCGAGGACGCCTTTTGTTTGTTTTCCTCATTGAAATAAAAGTGTGCTTGATTAGAAGAGTTACGGTAAGTCATTGACATAGGTCAGCAAAGGATTGGGGTTTTTCTTGCTTAAAAGCAGCTAAGGAGTCAAAACAAAACATGACTGTGAAAAGCATAACATCATTCTTTTCACCTCTGTGCTCAGAATATCATTACAAGCACACTGCAACATTAATTATTTTCTCACATGACAACAGTGTGTGTACAGTACATAATTATGTAGTACACAGGCATTTATAAATCTCATTTCTATCCTGTTAAGTCCATGCTAGTCAATCTCCAATTTCAGCAACAAAGCATCTCTCGACACATTCTGTGTGCTTCCATCACCATGTAACAACTATGATCCACCAACTCTATGAAGCTAAATTTAAACATTAAATTTATACATTGCATATTATTTTTTGACATTTTTCCACATTAATAATTCCATCACTTTGCATTGATAACATTTGTTGAACACATACGTTTTGTTCCATTACATTCAGTTTACCTGTCAGCCTTAAGCAGATACTAGATACTACATCAGATTTAATACCAAATAAGGAAACATATAAATGAGGTCATAGTGTTTGAGTAGAAATGACATCACAGAAATGGTATACATGTGGATATATGTGCGCCTTCAAAGCATGTTCTCTAACGTAGGGAAACATCTTGTGATTTAATCGTTAATGATCTTGCAATGATGTCGTGCAGAGATCATATATGCTCCATAGTTAAACACATTTGGTTATACAAGACTATTTTATATGTTGTCTCTGCAGGCCACAGGTACCCCATAAAATAAAATAAAATAATTGGGTGGAATAGATACAATTAAATACCAAATGTAAAACTAAATGATTTTTTTCTCTTTAGAAAAGAAGCTTTTTTGACATTTCTCACACATCTGTTATATATATTTTTTTCGAATGATTGTAATGACATTGTTTGTGTCTAAAGTGAACTGTACTTAAATGTTGTTGTCACCCTAAGTGCTAAATATAACAACAAATCTTCTAAAATCAAACACCAAATCTTCTAAGATTTTATATTAAAATAAAAGTAACAAATGCAGTTGCAGCCTATAGATATGGTATTAATGTACAGCAGGCTGTGAATCATCTGTGTGGACAAACCAGCTCAACCAACTGCCAATCAAACCCTCTTGTTGTGCCATCTGCGTCAGTAAATCCATATTTAAATGACTGGTGGAGTTAAATGTGTGGGGACATGAATCACTAATTCGTTAACATCATGACTCCACATGTTAGCCACTTCGTGTTAGAAATTTCTTGCATGTCAGGCATCATTTAATTTTCCACAAATGGCTTGGTGATGCTGTGACACCTCTCTCTCTCTCTCTAATACTCTCTCACTTCCACTCTCTCTCTCTCTCACACACACACACGTACTATTTTGTTGTATACACTTCACACAGTCATAAATATTTCCTAGCACTTTACTCTCACTTTTACTATATGCCAAATTTTATATTGCACGTTGACAAAGCGGTCTATTGATACACTCTGTGCTAGTGTCACAACTTAATCATGGCAATAAGTATGAAGAAAAATGTAACACATTTTAATTGTATGGACAGTTAGAATGTATATTTGTACTGAAAAGGAAGTATTCTTTTTCTCTCTGTGTAACTCTGACTGACTGACTGAGGGACTGACCACTAAACCTGATCAGATCCGTGTGAACAGATTGGGACTGACCACTGAACCTGATCAGATCCGTGTGAACAGATTGATCACATGAGTATTTAGTGATAAACTCTATGAAGTACTTGAACACATGTATAGCACTTTGTTTGCAGAAGGGGGGACAGCCTTTGAGCTCTTTGTCTAAGATCTTGGCAGGATATCAAGTTCAGCCAAACAACTGATCCCACGTCTGACTAGAGGAGGAACAAGGTGTGTCACTCTCTTAGTGTGCGAGGTGAAACCACAGCTAACGTTTTATCTGATTTGTTGAATTTCAGCCCAGCAACTCTGAGTCACTGTCGCCCGTATGGAATTAATGAAAAGCATGAAAGTCATCTGAGTTCTGTGACAATCACCTGGTTTTGTGTTGTGTGTTGTGTGTTGTTGTGAAGCATGTTCATCAAGGCTGCATCAGAGACATGTTTATTCATTCACATTTTAAAAGAGAAGTGCTGTGAAAGTCCCTCTTGCCTGTGGTTTCATTTGCATATGACTAGAAAATCAGGTAAACTCCATCCTTTCTAAAAAGTCAACGATCAGCGTAATCCCCCTGGAGAGGAAACCTTTCAATGACTTAATTTGATCAAAGCATGCCGCAGTCGACTAATAAAAACGGCACAGATGATAGGTCTGCAAACATGTGACCTCTGCCCTTGACATGTACAATTAGCATTAGCATAAGAGAGAAAAGATGCAGCCGCACAATCCAATAGATATGAATAAAATATCTATATACTTTTAGGACCCAGAGTGCAATAACAACGATTATACAAGTTTAAAGATATAAAATAATGTACAGAGAGAGTTTGGAGTTTCTGAACTTACCATTACAGATGGGATGTGTTGAGTGTGGTCCTTGTGTCTGCTGTGCTGTTCCCTGCTTGTGTGACCAGACTTTCTGATCAGCAGATGTATAAAAGAGACTGTTATGCTGTATTTTACAGTAACCACCCTGAAGATTAAAGTTGTTTAGGAAACCTGCAAAACAAAGAGGTGAGTCAGTAGTGTGGCACCTGGGGTGTGTAACAGAAGAGGGACCAGCTTGTTACGCACAATCACACTGTGTGTGTGTGTGTGTGTGTGTGTGTGAGAGAGAGATTTGATGTCAGTGCTGATTTCTGCTTTGACATGTCACAACATTTCAATGATGAGTCACCAGATTCATTTCACAGCAGCTGTTTCTGGGCAGTGTGTGCGTATACCTGATTATGTGCGAGTGTGTATGTGTACGTAGGTATCAGAGAAAGTAGTTGCATGAGAGCGTGACGCCCTCTCGGTGTCTCATGCATGAAACGTCATCTGTCTGCCTTTGGATCAAACCTTTGTTCTCTGATCTAAGCTGCCTGAAAGCGTCACATGGTATTTTGCAATTTAACTGTCAGCTCAACATAAAGATAATTGTCAGACTAACTTGACATTGTAAGTTCAATAGGCTGAGATAATTAGGTTTTACCAATGAATAACTAAAATAATTAATAAAGTGATACTCATTCTAACCTATTGGGTCCAGACGATGATGTTACTGTGAGTCAATCATCACGACTACACACACGACAGGGTGAGAGAGTGACTTGGAATAAGAGTCAAGCAGATGAAATGACCTCTGACCCAAAATTTGATGATGATGTGCTGCTCCATGTGAGGAATTCAGATTTGGGGTCTTTGGGATTTGGGTGGTGTTGCACCAACAACCTTTTGGTTATATGTGGGACTTCTACCACTGCACCATTTTAATAGGTTGTTTGATGCATATTTAAAACACCAGTATTCCTACCTGGCATCTTCCTAAAAAGCAGTCGCAGTATTAGTACAGTATATATTTATTTTAACTGATCCATCAGGAGGCACTGTTTTAAATGTACTTTAAATGTTCTGAGTAAAGTCAGAACAAACTGGATTAATGACTAGTTTTACTGTCAGTTTTCCTTGTGCTGATAACGATTTAAATCAAAACATTTAAGAGATTTTAGTGGCACTGAAGATGAAAAATAACAAGGCTCATCTGTCACAAATCAATTTACACCTTTTTTTTTAATTTGTGGAGAATTTGTTTCTTCCCATAAAAACCAGACAGAAATGAAAACTTGCTGTGTGTGTATTCTGCTTCTTTTTCTTTAATTTTAATCAAATGTATAACTGGGGACTCTCATTATGGTCACATTTCGCAATACCTCAGTGATTGCCCAACAGGGCAGAGTGCGAGTTATGCAACGTACGACTAAACAATCAAACAATAAACATATCCCCTCTCTATATATTTTCTCATATGTTTCTGCTACCTGAGAAAATATATTTGTGATCTCATTCACAGATTCATTTTGTTCATTGACAAGATTTCATGAAATCGGTGTTATCTAGTGGAATTTTAACTCTCGGTTAGACGCGTCAGACCAGCCTCCCTGACCGCAGCGAAAGTCAATAAGTCTGCAGTTAACAAGCTGCCAAATGGATTGTGAGTGTCTGTAGACTGGTTGATGTTGTTGGTGAAGTTTTTGAAAGCAAGTCTGGATACATTCCAGAAACCACCGTTAAGATTTGAACATGACACATTCAGTGCTTTTTGGGACATGGTTGTACATTTGTTATGTACATCGATTTGCCTTGTGTATGAAATGCTCTGTACAAATAAAGCTGCACTGCCTTTTTAAATTTAAATAGAGAACTTTGTAATGTACCATTTACTCAAGAGATTTTTCCTCCCAATAAACTGTCATCATTAACTGCACTGTGTGTTGTGTGTTCTGATGAAGACAAAACTTCTTGTGTGAAGATCAGACACCTTCGAACTGGGTGTGTCAGCTGCTACCGTGCCAGAAATACAGGTATGTTTAGTTTCTAACGTACTCTGAGTCTCTGGGAGAGCTGGTGCTAAAGGAGACAGTAGAAGAGTTGAGATTACACTGCCTTCCTGTGGCGACATTAAATACTGCAGCCTCGTGCCGGTTGAAATTAGAAAACAGGCATACGGATTACTTTCACATATCAGGTCTCCTGAACCTGAAACTTATTTTCAATTTAACTGCTTAAAGAAATATTGTTAATTTCAGCTTGTTAATTTTCAGCTCATTATAAAGAAAAAAAAAACACATACAAGAGGAAACCTGAGTTTGTTTTATCCCAACATATGGCAGATGCCAAGACATCTGATCTGTAGAAATGAAAGCCACGATAGAGAAGGTGGTTTGGTTTAAGGTTCTGTTATTAAAACCGCACAGGGTTCAGATAGTTTTACATCTTCAACAGCTAACTTGACCAGTCAGTGTCTGGGCATTTAGTTTGAATATTTTTTTTAATTCTTTGGAGTTAGAAGAATGGAGAAAAAAACAAATTACACTAATATTAAATTCAATGCAGTTTATTTTCAAATATTAAATGAAAGTAGAAGGAATGGAGGTCCAGTCCCAAAAAAAATTAAATGAAAAGCTGCTGCCAGCCTACAGAGACAAAAACACCAACTCAGCATGGCCACTGATAACATTACTACAAAGACTTGATCATAACTCCACATTCACTGGTTGGAAGCATTGCTAGAGGATAATGTCATACCATGGATGGAGGTCAAAATCAGAGGGATCCAGGTCTGATTTTGGAAACAGCATCCATGGTGCAGCACTCAGAATTCATGACTGGATTTATTATAGCACCAAGAAGAAGAGAAAGTACAGAAGTGTAGTAGTGTGTAGTAGTGTGAAAGAAATCCAGTTCATTGAACTCTGAGTGACAGTAAACTAAAGTAAAATTAAATCAGGGATCAAGCATGTAGTTAAAGTCATCAGTGACCAAATCTTAAAATATCCACAAAATGTCATGATTTGTAAACAGTTAACCTTATGAAAAAATAAATAAAATAAAAATCCATATACAGCGATTACAATCCTGTCAGCTGTGGTGGGTCTGTGTCCTTGGGGCCCAATTCCTGAACATAAATAAGTCAAGTAAGTTTTCTACATGACAACAAACTGACTACAACAAGGACTATAATTTAGTACAAACCTTAAGACTCCATGGAGGAAGGAGGCAGGTCCGGATTAACTTGGCTGCAGTCATGACTGATCCAGACCAGGATGTAAGGCTGTCCAAGTACCATAGTTTCAAGTCAACTGGATCTAAGGTCCAGCCAATATCTGCCAATAAGACAAGAAATTAAGAAAAGTAAATCATGTTAAAAGAAGGAGGGCAAAAGTAGCCTGAATGAACCAACCATTAGTTTCCCTTTGACAAAATGATAGAATGGCATGACATACAACAACATAAGAGGACTCGCTCACATTGAGCCAACTGCAGCTTTCTGGGGTTCATATCCAGATGTATTTAATTCCCAGTCTGCTGTGCTAACAGAGAGAGAACCCAGAGGCACAATTGACCCGAGAGCAGTCATCCAAGGTCTTCTCCAGTGACAGTGAGGACTCCTGTTGCTGGGGTCAAAATGACAAAATAAACAGACAATGAGGGACACTGACCAAGAGACTGGACAGAAGACAAAATTAATGTAATATTTGATTTGAAGCCAGGTGAATAAGATAAATGGAGTTCTCAAATACTCACATCATTACACATTTGGTCACATTAAAGTGGAATTTTGTGATGGAAAACCTATAGAAACCCTTCTCCTCACCTCAGGCCCCTTAAACCAGGATCCAACTTCTTTATACTTGGTCAACTCCTGGTCCTAGAGAATAGAATTCTAGAGACACAGATCAGATCAGCCAGTGAACAAAATAAAGTGAACAGATTTAGCATTAATCAATGAGAAAAATCAAACCTAAAGACATCCAGTGGCTGAGAAGATTTTGCTTCCAAGGTGTCCGTTCACCTGGGCCACCTTCACCCTACAGCCCAGATCAGTAGTCCTCTTACGGCTCCAGTACTGACCAATATGGGGGGAGGAATCTTACCCGTTTCACTGACTGATCTTACCAAATTCAGTCAATCAGGACAGAGTAGGTGAAGCCTGAATCTCTGCTCCCCCTGCACCACCCACCTACACTGATCATTGACACACACACACACACACACACACATATATATATATAAATAATTAACCAAGAATATACCAACAGTGAATTAAATTAATACAAGTGAATGTCATCTTCCTGGTGGCCTATCTATCACTCAGCCCTAAACAAAACAAAAAGTGAACACACTAAGGGGGGTGTGTGTGTGTGGGGGGGGGCATCTATTTCAACTAAACTAAGACTCAGATTAGGCTGCATACTTTACCAAAACAGTAAATTTAGCAGCTATTAGCATCAGTGTCAGAGGTTTATCTCTTTATCTGCTATTATCTCTATTATACCCTTTATCTTCTGCAATTCAGCCCACAGAAATATTAACTTAATCTTTACCAAGTCGTGGCTTGTCGTCTATTTGCCAAGTACATTTTCTATTAAAGAACCTAAACGCGCAATCTAAGCTGTATGCCTATCAGATTATGCCAGCATATTTATAACTGTCAACCTAGCCAGTAAAACGAACGATGCAGCAGAGGACGTAATTCCTCTGGTGGGAGGCCTCCCAACATGTCGTCTAAATGCCACAAAAAGGCAAACAAGTCTTTAGTAGAAATTAACTTGGCAGAAGGAGACAAGCCAGCTCTAGTCCAAACTGTTAAATGATGTTAAAGACCATTTAAGACCAACTGGTGTCAGAGTTTGGCAGACTTGGTGAGTTTAACCCTGACGTGGAAAGTCTAACTGTAAAACCAATATCTCTGACCCTGACCACAAGCCTTAAACTAAATCAAGTATTGATGAAGTGTTCACTTCTTATATAACAACCTCAATTTATAACTAACCCTAACCGTCAGATTTACAACCACAGTAATATCCTGACGGACACTTAGCTCATCTGTAAGTGACCCTAAACAATACAAAACACAATCTGTACATCAGCAAAACATGCATCATGCAGATAAAGGTGATCACACAGAGTCATACAAACGTAGATCAGAGGTGGACATCACATACACACTGACAGTGATAACATTAGTTACATTTACAGAAGTACACAGTCAGGCAAATTTACAGTTAAACATTTACAACAGTACAGTCAAGCAAATTTACATGACACCGAGTACTGGGCATGCATGCAGGTTGATGAAGCTGGAGGCATGCAAATTTACAGTTAAACATTTACAAAAGTACACAGGCATGCAAATTTACAGTTAAACATTTACAACAGTACAGTCAAGCAAATTTACATGACACCGAGTACTGGGCATGCATGCAGGTTGATGAAGCTGGAATTCCGGTAGTCCGTCTGCACAGCCGGAAAATGACGGCAACCAAAATGACCAAAATTGTGGAAAACTGCCAGGACATCCAAAATTGTGGAGAAGGACCGCAAACAGGACATGAGAATTCTGGAATATGAACGTTCCATAGAAAAATGACCACGATGTCCAGAATTATGGTGAGGACCGCAAAGAAATTGGTCAAAGGGATATTAAAATTGTGGAATATTGTGATTACACAAACTGCCAGTGAACAATTAATTTAAAAAAAAAAAAAAAAAAAAAAAAAACTACAAATGTTCCTGAGAGATAGTTATTGGCCACATTAGGAAATAAAGGACAGGTAGACATAGCAGTCAAGAGGAAGTGCTATAGTAGCACTGAATGTCAGCCTTTTGACAACGGCCAAAATGAGACATCCTTCACAGTTTAAACTAAGCTAACCTCATGCTTCAACCTCTGGTCCCATACACATTCACACACAGATTTGAAAGTGAGGAAATCCTGCTGCTACACTCCTGAACTTTGTCATACACATTAGGGTGTACAGCATTCTAAGTTTTACACAACCTAGACTGAACAGTGGCTATTTTGGCCACATAACGGTGACCAACAACTAGCAATTTGTAGATGCAATATTGTTATGAAAAGCCAAAACAGACAGGATAGAACTAAAGATCAGCTCAGGGGCTGGGGGAAAAAAAAAAAAATCATGGCAGGAAGCCATGTTAGGGCGCAAGATCACCTCGGCGGCTGGAAAAGGAAAGACCAAGTGTGACATTTTAACCACGCAACTCCTATCAATTTAATGTTTTCCTCAGAATGTTTGTCTTCATCCATAGAAAGCTGAAAAGAAAAAAGGTTATGGCATGGCAGCCAGACCCAACCTTTATCTACCAGCTCAGCAGTTCCACATCCACACTATGAAAATGGGACCAGAGTCACAACAACCTGCTCATGACCAAAACCCAGGTTCTACAGCCTATAAACTCAGAACAGGAAAAACAGAATAGAAACAAACCAAAGAGACAGGTGGCCATTTGCTGTTGTATAGCTATGTTTCAAACACACACGTTCAGCTAGGTACGGCAGCCTAGCACAGCACGGCAGCGGCACGGCAGCCGCAAAGAACAGAAAAACGACGTTCCTTACTATGTTGAAGATCTTCAGGATGGCCAATCTGGAAAATAAACCAGAGGAGTCATGTTAGCTACTGACGTTTTAGTGTTAGCACAACATTCGTCAAATATATTTTTTCTTATTAGCCTACATATAAAACCTGAGTTTGTCACTTACCTTGTCTTTCAGTTTCAGAAATGTAACTTTGAAGCTAGCCAACTTCAACCTGGTCTCAGTGCGCACAAATCCCGACGTATCTGTTAATTTCAAATATCGTTGATTACAAGTTTAACACAGTGTAACAATTTCTTTTAGAAATTCACTTTAGAAGTTACTGAAAACGGCAAAATACGATTCAATGAGTGAACACATTCTCTAAACATCCTGAAGTAGGTCAGTATTTTCTTAAATTAGTTAAGTTTGCAAAGTAAATAAATCCTTTAAGTGAAGTCTAAGCTAGTTAGATAAAACTACACCCAGTTAAAACAACAAGTGTAGTGAAGACAATTCCAGAAGTCTCTTACCTTTTCTAGCTCAAACCTCCATGCCGTCCAGGTCGAGTGGATAATTAGGAATAACGTCGTACACCTGCCGCTTTTAAAGCACATGGCAAACATTTTCGGCGTCTGGCGTCACGTGCCGTCACAACCGTTTTTTTTTTTTTAATTTAATTTAATTTATTTATTTATGCCTGTTCTGTTGCATTTTTGTATTGCAGTGCAGTATTAGGGCTATATTGAGAATAGAAAAATAACTATATTAAAGTCGTAAATGTATGAGACTAAAGGCGAAACGTTACGAGAATAGATTCGAAATTAAAACTGAATTTCTTGTCATTTAACACATGATCCCGCTGAGGAGGTTTCTCTGCCTTTTCTCTCTTCCCGGCTCTTCTCTCTTTGTTCCGTACTTCTGATATTGTGGGGGACTATCTTGTGTAGTGGACATTTTTAAAAGGTGCGGGTTTTGTGAGCAGCGTCCGTGTGAGGCGTCTGTCTCTGAGCAACCGTGACAGCACCACACGCATGCGCAGACCAGAGCCGTGGGAGAGAAGTGCCTGTATTGGACATACTGAACAAATCAACATTTAATTTCTAAATAAAGGACGATATATTTTACGGGGTGCCTGGCAACTATAGTTACAGAACACCAACCACTATTCATTAATCCTCCTTCAGCTCGATGTTCAACATCCTTTGCCCAATTCAATCACTATTTCTTCTCAACTAACGTTCAAATAATTTAGGTAATTACTGTCTCGGCGTCTTTAACTCGTTAGTTACGCCTCCTGTCTTTTGGACAGAGACAATATGTTATTGTTTTCAGACCAGACATCCTAACCAGGTCTCACTAATATCTATTAAACCCCTCTTGTTTATATATTCAATGAGTCTAATTTATATATTTAAATAATACTCACTGAATAACATCTGTAAATCCAAGTTCTATCTTATCTAAGGCCTAAAGCTGGAGATCGCCAGTAAGTGGGACATGAACCATTGCACCAGTGTTTACTTTCCAAACGTATTTTATTATTTGCTTGCTTTTCAAAATATAAATATGTAAGACAAAATGATGTTTTGTACAAACACTATAATATTGGAAACCTGATGTGATGTTGCTCCATCTTAATACATTAGAAGTGAGGAAAAAAAAAACACGTAATAGAAAAAGTAGAAAGACATTAAGGTATCAATACAAAAAGATAAGTAAATAAACTGAACTATAATGAGTGTTTCATGTGTTAATAAGGCAAAATAACTCAAAAAACAAAAGTCTGAATCATGAAACCCTGCTGCTAAGAAAATACCATAATACTGTTGTGCCGTAGTGACATGTTTCACACACAGCCAGGGGAGACGTGAAAACGTACATATGTAGAACATATTTATACAATTTATACATCTGACAGCAATAAACTCAAGGAGAAACATTTCACATATGTACTGTAAATATAACAGCCTGATGAAGCGAGGACCCACAGACGCTAAACTGCTGCAGAAGAAAACTAAGTGATGACAGATAAGCAACATCAAAATTCAAATGACTGATTTTATTTTAAAGTAAATAGGAGCGATATCCATCATAATGTATAATAAAGAACTGGCACATCAAAATGATTCTATTATACACCCCTGCTGCTGCTGCTGCTTGGCTGAATTCCTAGTACACTCCAGGGCTGTTACGGATCCCACAACAGAGCACCATGGTGAAGATCATCTCAAAGACCTTGATAAGAAACAGAACAGCGTAATTCAATTCAGACTCTATTCCTGCACCTGTAACAGTTGATACATTGCCACAGTTTCAAAGCTGTGTGAACAAAAATAATCCTTGTCTCTATCTGACACTCACCATGATGACAGCAACCACCAAGGCAGCCAGACCAATCAGATGCAGCTTCTCAGAGAAGAGCTCGATCAGTTTGTCGTGACAGCTCTGTAAACAGGAAGAACATGTTTATTTATCTATGGACACGCCTCTAGATATAGATATATATTTTTTCATTTCATTTGGAAGTGGATAGGGGATTTCTGTTGGATATGAAGGTTTATTACAGGAATATAAATCCACTAGGTGGCAGAAATGCAACACAAAGAAGTCAGAGACGCTATTTAAACCCAAAGATTAACAACAGGGGGAGCAACTATATCTGACCTGCAACTACTATTGAGTTCCCGCAGCTGTTTGTGTTCTTGCATGTTCTGTTATATTTAATTCATAGTGTCCTTTTCTTTCATTTATATCCACTATTAATACATTGAGAATCCTGGGGTTCAAGGTTTATTTGTAATGGGCCCCCAATTATAAGCTTCAGCTAGCTTCCTCACAGTGACCCACACTGTAATGATGTGTAAATAAAATAACATTTAAAAAATAAATAAAATCCTTTTAATTATAAAGTCAATTAACAAATTAATTGGAATTCACAAAAATGAAGAAGTAGTTGTATCCATCAGAGCTGAGAATATTTCTGACTTTATTGGTTTGTTACCTGAGATTTCAGAAAATCATCTAGAGACTTCCTTGGACACAAGGTGGTGGCAACTTGTCTGAAGAGAGCCGTGTCGTCTCCTTTACCGCAGCAGTCAAGCTGAAAAGAACCCCACCTCCACTGTCAATGACCCATTCATCAAACCCAATGCATGTCTTTAATTAACTGGTGGAATATTTTCCGCCACACCGTACCGTGGTGTGAAAAGCATCCAGGACCTTGATGGCAGCGTCTTTACTGGGAGATCCAGACACATCCACAGCCTTGATGTAAGCAGAGTCGTAGAAGTTGATGAGTTCTTTGGAGATCTGTGGACGGCAGCGAGTTGGACATGTTGTTACAAGGGAAACGACAACAGACAGAAATAGCAGATTTACTGGAGCAAAAGTGGCAAATCGATGCAGAGATCAGTCTGCATGCAGAGCTGTAATGAGCTGTGAGTGTGTGTGTATTACTTACAGTGTCCCTGTTCATGAAACCCCAGATAACTGCTGCTACTTCACAGGCAAAGAGGATCACTAGGAAGAAAAAGAACTTGGAACAAAATAAAAAAACATTTAAAAAAAGATGAAGAACATTTACATCTGTTATTAATACAAAATGACTTTTATACAGTTAATCTCCTAATCTACAACCTAAATTTGTATAAATCTATAAACTTTTATACAGTTAATCTCCTAATGTACAACCTAAATTTGTATAAATCTATAAATATAGATCAAGAAAATATACTGTGATATTTTATTGGTAAGGATGCTGCCCTTTGCCTGTGTTAGTTTTCATTCTCTTTTAGAATTCACACCAAGGAAATACAGAGACTACAGATTATCCCGACCCCCACCCTATCCTCTCTTCCACTCATATAAGCATTTAAATGTGTACCATTTACATTTAGTTGTATTAAAACGTAGAAGCACTCACTGTTCCCAGCAGACACTGAGACTCCTGAATGGCTCCATAACATCCCAGGAAGCCGACCAGCATCATCACAGCTCCTACAGCTATCAGTATGTAGACGCCTGGAAAAAACACAGACAGAAAAGAAAAAAACAAAACAAATGTGAAGACATGTAATCTGTCATGTCCACCACTAGAGATCAGCAGTGTCAGCGTAGTGTGCTGCAGGGCCTTCATTGATCCATACAGTGTGTTTAGTAATGGACTGGACCTTCATGGCTTTCCTGGTAGAATGACACAACATTACTGACATCCTTAACTGCTCCAAGATTGGGCGAGAGGAAGAGAGAAGGAGAGAGGAGTGAGGCTGAGTCAGTGACGCTGCCACAAAACAGGAAATGCCTTCCACACCCTCCCAACCACATTATACCCCCCTTCTACCACTGCTCTGACCTCCGACCCTGTGCATTATCCTTCCCCAGGAAACAGGAGGAACCATGAGAATACACACTCTCTTACCTACTTAGACACACACACACACACACACACACATCTCTGTGTGTTTATGCTGACAAAGACACACCCAGAGTAAAAAAAAACAACTCTAAAAACCTAATCTACAAAAGTGAGCACCAGGCCTCAAACTATAAGACTGAATGTATAATTTTGATGTATTTGTTTTGTGACACTTAACCAATAAGTGATTATAAAAGGTAACACAACGCCAACCAGCTGCAGCCTGACCTGACCTTATCCTGAGGAAGACAATGACTTTTAGCGTGTACTCAGCAACAGTGAGAGAAGGATGTACTTAACATTGTCATGTGCTGAATCACTATCTTTGAAATCCTACTCAAAATAGTAGTTAAAAACACATTAAAATATATTATTTTATAGCACATCTTGCAAAAGGTGCAAAAGCACTCTGCTTATAATATTCCTATTTTAAAACAATAACATTTTGATCTACCTAATTTGTCATTTGCAAAGCAGAACAAAGAAATATCACAAAAATATAAAGAACATTACAAGTGTTGTCAACCAGAAAACTTAAATACTTAATCACTCAAGAATGAGTGAATTTGTTTTAAATAAATATTGAATTAAATGGAACAAATAACCAGCTCATTATCCCGTCAGTTAGCTGTAATGGCAGCACAGATTAACAATAACACAAAACAACAGTGTATGAACAACAAAGTATGAGAGGGAAACGTAGGAACACAACAGGAAAAGAGGCGGACACTTCAGAGTGAGTCTATTTATATTCATTCATATTTGTTTGTGTCACTGAGAGGAAAAAGAAAAAAAATGAGGGAAGTTATGAGCAACTGAAAACTTAGAAAAACTCCAGGTTTGGGTCATTTTAAATACAATTTTACCTCCATGGTGTTAATATAATGTTTGTTTTTTAGTATTTAAGCTTATTTAATTGGAACTGTCTTGTATGTATGTATATATATAATTATATATATATATAATTTAAAGTAGTAGAGTCTAAGGTAAGTTGGGAGCTTGTTAGCTGGCTATAATAATGAAAGGCTGGGCAAAACTAAAACAAAAATATCTTACAAGTATAATGCAAATTAGAAAAAGAGCTCTCCTATAATTCCAACAGATTTGGTTTAATGACTGACGATTTCGGGGAGCATAAAACTACAGGTATCCCAGAGTCGTTCGGTGACAGAAGTGAAGGACGTGAACGCTCTCAGGGAGACAGTCAGGGAACAGCCTGTTTCAGGCTTTTTCTATTCTTGTACTTGCCAGAATAAAACACACAGCCTGTAATGAGGGCTGACACAGCGGTCGGAAATGGACAGACAGCGAGAGACACTGACGCTGCTACGCCTGCAGGCCTCCAGTACCTCACACTTTACCTCAAACATCACGCCAAACTCTTCCTCACACTGACGTCAACGCTCCCTTTTCTCTGTTTTCTAGCGCTTTCTTCTCCTCTATCCCTTCCTCCCTTTCTCCTTCCCCTTCAGGATTTGCAAAGCAGCTTCCTGTAACCTAGCAATGCAGAAAGGCAGGCAGTTTTTCTGCTGTCTTTCATCACTATGGTAACACCCTTTTTAGGGTGAATGCCATTGAAATGGTAAGGGCAACAGGCAATTTTACAGCTGGAGAAGTTCATTTATTTCTTGTCTTGTCTGTGTAATCTGCTGACAGCCAAAAGTGGAGGGTGGTCACCAGCTCACAGACCCAATTTGGAGTCACTGCATACATGATAAGGATCTCACTGAGACAGGATATTAAATCACAACCTCATCTTCAGAGGCAGATGTGCTGAATCTGTCATCAGCCATTTGACAATATATACATATATATGCTATATATATATATGTATCGATATTCATTTAAAAACAACCAACTAAAGTTATTTAACAACTGAAATAAAAATTAGGATAAATGAACTCAATATTCAAATTATTTATTCTAGACATCTGGTCACAAGCCACATGTGGGAACGTTTGTGAGCCACAAGTGGGCAATTATCTTGATTTCAATATTCTCCTTCTTCTGGAGATTATTTTTGAGATCATAAATCTTTAGCATCATTAGCAAAATATTAGCTGGTGTGAAGAACTGGAGCAGAAGTGACTTCAACTACCATCTGACTTCAACTGCCCTGAGAAACTACATGTGTTTTCTCTAACCCAACCTGTGAGACATACCATTCAACCCACTATGAGAGACTGTACCTCTGACCAAACCAGACTGCTGCCACCAGTAATGATTCCAGGCCCTGCTTCAGAGGCAGGAGAGTGTATATTTTCAGTCTGAGATAAACACCACCTTGGTGTGCCAGCATGCTAAAAACATCCACTCCAGACTCTAATTTGAGTGGTAATGTGCAGATGAACAAGCTTATTTGAATTATGCAAGGGCGTATGTTCAAGGAAGGGTAAAAAAAAAAAAAAAAACAGTGCCTTGATCTTGCCTGGGTGGGCCTCTCTGCTCTGCCTCCTTCTATAAAAAGCCCTGCTCACCATCACTCTGTATACTTACAGAGGAACACGGATGGGAGAGAAACGGGAGTCCAAATGGAAATTAATGGGCTGCCCAAAGTTCACCACCACAACACACTCAGACGACGGACCTTTGAAAAGCTGAAAACATATCATGTATTGTAGGTTTTAGTGCCAATCTCTGGATAACAGCGTGCAGTGAAAAGGACGTGACGATGATGACTTAGGATCGTATTTCATGCACCGAGCGTGACCTGGAGTATTCTGGGATTCGGCCCTACCTTCTAGGCAGAGGCACACAAAGAACATGTTGTGCTGAAATTGCACAAAAACAGCAGAAAGTTCCTTAAAAGTGTGAGCACATGGTGGCTTTATTTTTCTCATGGGTAATTACCTTCCTCAGCTCCCACATATGTCTCAGCATCTGTCTTGAGGCTCCACTCTCTGTGTGGAAATCACCCCAGGGCAGGAACTTTCTCAAGTAGAAAAAAAACCTCTGCGTATTCATCTTATTCATAAAAACTGCACCTGTACGTTTCCACACTGACAAGTAGCTGCGAGAAGAAGGAAACCCAGGATCCACTAAGTCACGCTGCGGATCTAGGTGTTTCCTGTTCCACCGGTCTTTTCTTAGAGGTTAGGCCGCTCCGACTATTTCAGGACCTTACTCACAGGGTCTCTCCACTGGGTATTAAAGGCGGGTATTTCACTGTCTGTTGTTTCCAGGACACTGGTAACTGTGAGCTTCCTGTCAGGTGAAGGATGAAGAATAAGAATAGAAAATGCAGAGGAGTCGACAGAAGTCTGTCAAGAGGTGTGTTAATAGAAAAAAAAGAAACCTTAATTAGATTGGATTCCTTTCATCAACTCTTACAGGGATCGCTGCCGTATTTGATGAACTTTCTGTCATTTGTCGCTACTTTCCTGTGTCCATCAGTAAACCCATGTACCACATTTAAGTCTAGCTTTGCTCCTTCATCATAACATAACACATTTTATTAAATAAATATGAATTAAAATAAAGGCCCAAACCTAAGAATTACAGAAGATTGCAGGAAGACCCCGCTGTGTTGAGGTCAGAGTGTGTTTTGGTCAAATGCCGGTGTCATCTCTGTGTTAAAGGTGTCTACTCACTGATGTAGAACGTGCTTGGCGCCTGTTGGCCTTCAAACTGAAGTATGAGGAGGTTGCTGGTTTGATTGTCATGGCGGAGCCACAGGGCCACTCCTAGGATCACTCCTCCAGCCAGCTGTCCAAACAGAAAGACTTCAGTTACTACTGGTGGTGCAGGAGGGGAAAGAAAACGGAATCATCTGCATCATTAATTCAGAGATAGATTCAGAGAAAGTCAACAAATGAATTAAGGCAGTGGGCCGTGCCGTGACATACGATCACAAAAATGACTGTAATGTTAGGTTTGACATTCATTTCAGAGCAGCTGAGGTTTTTAAAATATTTGATATTTGGGAGAAATGTTGCCATTGATGAAGAACTCCAGATTCCAGTGTCCACTGTCTAAACCTCAGCTCCAACATCTCCTGACCTGTGTTCCCAGCTCTGCCATGAGGAGGAGATCGTTAGGACAAGTGACGAGAGGATATCCTGGCACACTGGTGACCTCTGCCACAGACTGTGTCCTCAAAGCTTGGTTTTAAGCCAACTCAACAACTTTGGTGTGCAGCTACTCCTCCCTTTACTCTTATTCTGTGTCTTTCACCCCTCGGTCCATAAACACTGAAATGGATTTTTTTTAAATATAAAAACTTAGCGAACAACAATGAATCCAAATAATCACATCCAGTGTGGTATGTTGTCTGCATGGTGACGCCCTGGTTCTTCAAGCCAGTGTTTCTGTACACTAGCACATCTAGTACAAGGACTGAATTCCATTGTTCTCCATGAAACAGGAAACTGAATCCTTGACATGAAAAATAGCCAAATGAGGAAGAGAGGTTTTTTTGAAACGAAAGGCTCGGTGCGACAACACCAGAGGAAACACTCAATCAAGTGTAAGGGTTCAGGAGATGGTGACTCTGCGCTCAGTTGAAAATAAAGGTTCTGATCTAAAATGATCGAAACTCGAAACAAAATATTACAAAGTAGTCGTCGGCGATCCAACATGGCCGTGAGAAAACATGTTAGAGCAGAAGACTCATTCGAAGGAAGTCGAAATGAGATGAAATAGTCCATAAAATGAAGACAGATACATAAGGCCTACAGTAACTCCCTGTTACTGAAATAACATTAGCGTGTGTTCAGCATGAACACACAGTACTTAAATTAAAGATTAAATGTTTCTGGAAGAGAGACACATGAGTTAGTGATAAGTTCAAAGAAATAAAATAAAATCTTATAAAAGTGCTGTAGAAAGGTATTAGCCTTATACACCAGCATGAACACAATTACTGTCCATGAAGCACAAAAGCATTTTAACTCTGCTTGGATAAAGTTTATTATACTCTGGTGAAGTGGGAGGAGGTCCTCACTTTTAACAGCTCACCAGTCTTACACAGAAGAGTGGAAGAGGGAAACCACAGGGAAATCACAGTCACTTCTTTATCACCGAACATTAAAGGGAATACATCACACCACTACAGTGATGCTACATAATGTACTATATGCTACATATACTTCAGCTGCACAGTCTGGGTCCGAAAATGAGGCTGTCTTCAAGAACAGAAAAGAAAGTCACAAAGTCAAAAGTTAATCAATGATTAAAAGAAAACAACGCAACTCACCCAGAAAATAAAATTAAAGAAGAATAACATGTATTTTATGCATCTTGTGCAGCCTGCCACAACCATGTTGCCAGTGTTATCAGTTCTGTCTGTTTCCCTCACAACTTCGTCCACTGTCCACGATCACAGTCTCTGCCAGTTGCCTCGGTTCAAGTCAGTAGAGGCACTAGAGCCCCGACCCTGGAAGCTCCGCCTTTATAATCAAGAGTGAAAACTGAGACCAGGACCAGCCCACAGAGTGGAGGCCACGGGAGAAACTGTGTTCTTCACCATGTTCTTCTCTGTGTTCTTCACCATGTTCTTCTCTGTGTCTGAAGAAGTAAATATCTCATTAAATGTAGTTCAATAAAATGCTGTTTCACTAAAACATGGTTCATGTTTATCAATGTGTGAAAACAGAATGGCCATAGGGGTCAAAACAAGACAGTTTTGGTCGATGACGTCACCGCTTCCGTTATAATACCCTTTAGATTTTTCATTTTCTGTCTTCCATACAAACACCCTGCAGAGACGTCTACCCACTGGTATAATTGTAGACCGCAGGTCTGAATGTAGAGAACCAATTAGCTTGTTTATGTGACTGCTGTGAGCACTGACGCCCTCTGCTGGCATGTTTAACACAAGTAAAGGCCTGGTCGACTTTACACTATAATTATCGTCACCTACAGATCAAGTGGAGCCCACGTAGTTCTGCAAACAAGTAATAGAGCCTCCCCTCACTTTGACACGGACACACACAGGTAGACACACACACTTGCAGACCGCAGCCTGCTGCCTGGGGCCGTAAATCATGGCGCTGTAAGAAGCTCCATGATCTGCCTGTTGTTGATCTAATGGGCGTTTCTGCGCCTTCACAGCCCCAGGGTCACACCGTGTCCAGCCATGAGCTGTGCATCAACACAATACGCCCCCCCCCACCAACCCCTCCCCCTACTCCTGAGTGTTACAGCCGCTGACCGACCCGCACTCCCGAAACG